ATATATATATATATATATATATATATATATATATATATATGGAGTGAGGTTAAGGTGTCAACCTTATACTATTGAAGTAAGTTGTATCTCAAAACTATGCCAAAAATGCAATTTCGGTGCTGCAAAGCCTTGGGATGATATGAGTATCTATTGTTGGCCTCAATTATGAAATTCAAAGTTCCATAAATGGTGACAATCAAGCAAATCTATAAGCGCTTACAAATATAGAAAATCGACGGTCCATATAATGTATTACAAGATGAACTACTGTTAGGACTAGAAATCCCTTTTTTTTTTTATGTTTATGAATGTTGAGGTTGTGATGATCGATTTGAGGGTTTTTCAGCATAAGAACAATCTTCTCTAGTGGATTTTTTAGGTGCACCTTACTCGTACGGTAGCAGAAGGAGCCATTGAAGGAATCACTGTGCCAGGAGAGCCAGCTAGGTTGAGTTCAATCAATGGTTCCAGTGGGTGGCAAGAATGAATCATAAGAAGATTGAGTCCCTGGCCCCTACTGTCTCCCCACCACCAGAGGCTGCAGAGCATCTGATCGAACCTAAGAGTCAAAAGGTGTCGCACGTGATGAGGAACGGGAGACCGAGGCGGGGATAAGCTACACCCCAGAAGTGGAACTAACTGGAGGGTCGGTATGCGAAGCGAGGTCTCCCTTGTAACAGGAGTGGAAGACCTCGCCATGCGCCTGGGCCTGTGCAGCCCAAGGCAGGGCGGTGACCCTGGGTGGCTGATTAGTCGCCCAAGGCATAGCCCAGGTGCTCATCCAAAGCCTTTTCGTGAGGGCGAAAATTGCCCTCGCCAAAAGGGGAAAAATTGTAATTTCCACCTTTTAAAGGGGGGAAGTAGTATTTGGGCGACATTTTGGTCGATCTCCCCCCCCACCCAACCAAAAAAAAAATTCTAGTTAATAAAACTACTCTTTTAGTGCCAAATCGGAAATTATGTCATTTGATTCAAAAGTGTTTTAGGAGAGTTTTTAAATCTCTTTACTTTTTATTCTGTCAGAGACACTTCGGCTGTACTTCAAGGAAAGAATGGAAGAGTTAAGTCTGGTGATGAGTGAACAAGATGAGGATGCAGATAAACTACAATTTCCAGATGAGAACAGAACAGAGAACAAGTATAAACACTCCTATACTGCCATTGATGAAATGGATCATGAAAGTCAACATGAGATGGTACTTTTTATGAGCAAATTGGTTGGGAAGCATGGATTACAAAAGTTGGTAAGGTTGTTTAAGATCTCAGGGTCTCAAAAGTTTACATCTATGATGGAAGATGCCTATTCTTGCTTTCAAAAATGAGTACATACTCTTTTGTTATGCTTCTACTGTCTAGCTTACATCTCCATGTCTGCGATCGATGTGTAATCAAATATACATTTTCCTTAAAAAATGTGTCCCACTATATATCATTTGAAATGGGTCTTATATCATCATATTATGAAGCAGAAGATTTGGTGTAGTATTGGAGTATTAAAGGACTCTTGATGGATCTGACACTAGATAATCATCTCTAGCCAAAATTTCAACTTTTCTCTGCAATTTGGAATTAAAAAATATATAAGCAGAAATCGATTTCAAATTTGAAGTTGAGAATCGAAAGGCAATCGACCTTGAACTTTTTGAGGATTAAAGTGGTTGCAAAAGAGAGCTTTCAGCAAGTGAAAGTGACCGATTTAAGCCTACCTTGATTGGTTCTCAAAGATTAGTAAATTTAATTGTTTATGTTTAGGGTTTCAAATTGTTTTGTAAGTATTGTGTTATGTTATACTTTTTTATCATTTTTCTTGTGTTTATTTTTGAAGCCGAATCTTAAATTTATAATGAAACTTCATGACCTTTTTTCTTTTAAGGGTTTGTTATTTTTGTGTTTACAATATATTTCTGGCTATGTTTCTAAATTTATAATGCAGATTTAAAAATTTATAGTATATTTTTGGCCGTGTTTCTAATTTACAAATTTGAGAATATTTCCCTATGTTACGCCATATTTCTAATTTTTAATGCAAAATTAAGAATTTATAATATATTTTCGCTCCCTTAATCCAACCCCCTGCCCCCACAAAAAAACAAAAAAAAACAACAAAAAACCCCCAAACCCCGTTTAAACAGAGGCCAAGCAAGTTGGCCACCCAGCCGGTAGGGACTGTCAAATGACTTCGAGGTAGTTACCCCCGTCTTCTTGAACATAAAACAGTTATGAGCGAGTTGCTACAATATTTCTCTCATAGTAGAAATTTGCTCAAGGTTCATCACCATCCAAAATCCATCATATGGTCACAGTTCTCTAATAGTGTTTGAATTTTAATAAATTTTTTTTAAATCAGATTCCTCTGAAATTCGTCTGAAATTTGGAGCATATGTACATCTAACCAACTCGTACATAAAATATTAAAAAACAATTCTCAAAAAAAATAAAATGATGAAAATACCCTTGAAATGTTTATAGGGGTAAATTGGTTATTTTTATTATTTGAATTATTTTTATATTTTATTTAGGGGCACCTCACTAAGGCGCAGTGTTTTCCATGTATATAAGTGTTTGTGTATTGTGTGTGTGTGAATTTATATAAGGTTGACACCTTAAAATGTAGAAATAAGGTGCACCTCTAAAATCCTTCACAAAAGGTTGTTTTGATGTTGGAAAAACATCTATCGACATCGAGATATATAGATATGGAGAAAAAAGATATTCAAGTCCTAAAAATAGTACATCTTACAACACATTATTTAGACCATCCATTTTCAAGATTTTCATGCGTTTATAGATTTACTTGATTTGAACCATTTTTGGAGTTTAATATTTTATAATTAGAGATAAAATAGATTCTTGCAACATCCTAAAAATTTTCGACATTAAAATTGCATCCCATGACAAAGTTTGTAAGTGCACCTTACTTTCATTGTTTAAAGTTGCAACCTTAAGAGAGAGAGAGAGAGAGAGATATATATATATACATGTGGAAAATGTTGAGGTTAACCTGTTGAGGTTAACCTACTAGCTCATATTTACATATGAGCCCAACGGCCCAGACTGAATTTGGGCCGATCTGACGGTCACGAAGTCATTTCGTGTTTGAATTTTAGTTTTTGTTTTTCTACAAATCCAAATCACTTGAAATTTTAGACATCCTTCTTCACATCAACGCGCACTTAATAAAAATATTTAAAAACTAATTCGCAAAAAATAAATTGACCAAAATACCCTGAAAAGTTTTGGGGGTATTTTGATTAATTTATTTTTTGCAAATTATTTTTTTGATATTTTTATTAGATTATCCTATTTTTAAAGAATACATGCCTACAATGGAAGTGATTTGGATTTGTAGAAAAAAAATTAAAATTCAAATACGAAATGAGATTATGACCATTATATCGGCCTAGATTGGGCTCATATGTAGATATGAGCTAGTGGGCTAACCTCAGCATTTTCCTATATATATATATATATATGGAGAGTTTGAGGTCAACCTGCTAGTTGACAGCTACAGTAAACGCCTAACGGCCCAAATTGAATCTAAGCCAATCCAATCGTCACGATTGTATTTTGCATTTGAATTTTAATATTTTTTTACAAATTCAATTCACTTGAAATTTTGAGCATCTACTATTGAAAAATAGGCAAAAACTTTTAAGGGATTTTGGTCACTTTAGTTTTTGCAAATAATTTTTTTAATATTTTTATTAGATGCACCGTGATGAGTGGCGCTCCAAATTTCAAGTGACTTGAATTTGTAGAAAAAAATTTAAAATTCAAATACAAAATATAATTGTAAGCACAAATTCAATCCGGGCCGTTGGGCTTACACTATTTCAGGCTTACACTATTCCATCAGCTATGGGCTGACAGGATTTTATATATATATATATATAGAGAGAGAGAGAGAGAGTTGGAAAAAGGCTTTGACAATGATGATGATGATGATATGGAAAACGTTTATATAACATTGCAACCTTAAACTATAGAATTAAGGTGCACCTCAAAAATCTATGTTAAAAGGTTCTTTTGATGTTGGAAAATCCTCTAATTGATCATCTCGACATCATGATGTATGGATAGGAAAAAAAAAAGATTTCGAGTCTCAAAATAGTGTATCTTACAACACATTATCCGAACCATCCATTTTCAAGATTTTTCTGTATTTATAAATCTAATTTATTTGAACCATGTTTAGAGTTATAAATTTTATAGTTAGAGATGAAAATAGATTCTCATGCCATCCTAAGAAATGTTTACACCAAAAATACATATTAAGACTAAATTTAGAGGCTACTTTGATTGTTTAAGGTGGCAACTTTATGCAAACCACACCCTCTCTCTATACATATCAACTTTAGAATAAAACAACATAAAGTTGCATAAGGGTAGAAATTCTCTATCTCCACAAAGTTAAAGAACGTATACAAGATAAAACTTTGGGAAATTCAGAAAAATGATAATCTGGGTTGATAGCATCACATATTTGAAAATTGTTCTAATATTATCCAAAATACTTTTCTTTTGCAAAAATATGAAACTCAGCAGGGGAAATAGACATATGTTAAGACTCCTAAGCTTTAAACTAGAGCGAATAGCATTATCCAAAAGTTTAGAAAACTAAAAACAAACCAACTAATATTAGGATTATTGAACCTATAAATCTAATGATCCCATGAAATGTGAGATATGAAGAACTGTAGCTAACATGGATTATTTATATTATCCTTAGTTTAATTTAAAAACTTAATCAAAATTATTACAAGATCTTGAAGGATTAACTACTCAAACTGATTCTCATATCAAGATAATAAAATTTTGATTTAGGAAATTAAAAAACTAAAACAAACAAATCCAACCATATCATGAAATATTTGATAAGAAAAATGAATACTGACATTATCGGCATCCCACACCCTGACTGTCTTGTCAAAAGATGAAGTAGCAAGACGTGGCATGCTTGGACTAAAACGGACATCAGTAATTAACAAGGAATGCTCTTCTAATGAACTCTTTGCCTTCAAACCATCGACATGCCATAAAACAGCCTGCATTGCAAAATCACTAAGATAAGTTTATTTGCTTTCCTTTCCAAATCATCATCATCCAAGCCTTATCCCAATTATTTGGAGTCAGCTTCTTTTCCAAATAGTAAGGGAAAAATTATCTGAACAATACCAAGAAAGACGGAACACTTGCATAAAAGACAGGTGGTAAAAAATCTTGGAACTGACGCCGGGACGTGAGACAAATAATCTTTTTAAATGATCACTTTACCCCCAGGCCGGTATTAAAATTATTGCATAAACACTTGCTCCCAATTCAATTTTTTAGTACCAGACAAGATGCTTACTTGGGATGAAAAAGAATTTATCATAAGATAAATAACAAGATTGCAAATACAAGAACTCTGGTCACTCTTCAATAATCTACAGGCATTGATTATCAGAATTCCAAAACAAATTTGCCTGGCATCTTTTCTTTCACAAAATACTGGGGGTTAATGTCATAATTTTAAAGATTGATAAAGTCCACGTTCATGACTGACATTCCAAGTTTCTGAGATCCCCACCACTTATGTAGGTTTTCCAGGTACTTCTCTGATACTTTCCCAAATAATAATTACCAGGTAAACCACTGAATTAGAATAATCAGTATATAGTTAAAAAAGAAAAAAAAAAGTTCCACCACTTCCTCCAGTTAACTACATCCTTCCAACACAACCTAACAAATTCACCTTCTTCTCATGGCCAGCACTGGCAAGAAGTTTTCCATCAGATGAAAAGTGGCAGCACACCACCTTATTCGTGCTTGCCCGGACATGATTCACTTCAGTAAATGAAAATCCTGAGGTAAATTCCAAAACCCACATTAGGATAACCAATATCAAGGAGGTGAAACTATAGCGAAGTATCTCGTGGTACTTTATCATATATTTTTTAACAAAAGAATCCCATTTATCATTTCCTTGAAAAGAGGTGGGTTTCCATGGTTTAGTATATAAAAGAGTATGACTCATACCTTTGGTGACATCTATACCCCGACCAACTGTATCTCTGGGGTCTGTATCATCATGCGATAAGAATGACTCGACATTATCATCCAAAGACCCATCTTCCACAAACCGATCCATATCAGCCTGCAATTCAATATCTTTATCATCCCACTGCCAAAATGGAGTGCTAATGAGAATGTGTACAGCCAATTACGTTTGAAATTTACAGCAAAATAAAGAGAGTTTCCTATTAACAAGTGGAAAAATATAAAGCATTCACCACTAAAACTAAACAGGAACATATACTGTATTTCGATGGACTATGGTCTCCATAGGCCTTGCATTGTGACCATCTGATTCTAAGCTGTAGTCCAATCGACCATGGCTTCCACAATCCATTGGACCGTGACCATCTGATTCTGATATAATCCATTCGAATATTGTTTCAATAATTCAAAGGGTTGTTACCATCTGATAGTGATGAAATGAAGGACAGTGGAGAGAGTATGGGCCTCACCACAGGGCACATCCTCTCTCTCTCTCT